TGTAAATTTACTTTTGTAACTTAGAAGTCATAATGTTATGTCAAAATTTTCATTTCCAATCAACATAGAATTAATCTCACACAGCATGCACAGGCCAAATGACAGTAACACGGTAACTGTTAAGTAGATTTTTCCTACCATTTTGTAACCCAGTTATTTTGTTGTGTCATTGTTTGAGATATACGTTTTGTTATTGAAAATCGCAAGGAATGTGAAACATCAAAAACTCACGTAAAATGTGCATTCTTTGCAAATCCAAAAACCTAAAGCTTATTTTCTTGTTTGATATTTTACAAGTACGAGTTCAACAAGAAGGGGAAAGCATCGAGTATACTCATAAATAGTAATGTAGAATGCGGATAGAACAATCAGAGTACAACATATACTTTGTGACAGTCAAAGCTTTGTACCTCTACAAAACTTTTTATCGAATGTGACTTTTTTACAGATGTATTCAGTGAGCCAAATGGTAAAAACCTGTATTTCAGACGGTTTGTGGTTTGTGGTGAACCACATATACATGTACTACCTCAGAACTGGACATCCCAGATTAAGAAATTAAAGCCTTAAGGTGAATTTTTAAAAAGGCATGTCGACAACATAATGTAATAAATTGAATATTAAAAGCAGGTTTATATAACCATGTCCTAGAGGAGAACATAAACGTAAATTTAATACATAAAGTTTGATCCTCTGGTTTTTGAACATATTTTATTGCAATGTAATATGAAGAAACTGATCGGTTGTCAAGCTCAAGCGCCAGTGCATTAAAGCAATACAGAGCAGAGCAACACAAACCACCAAAACATCACATGCCATGGAGGAGTTAACTAGAATTCCCTGTCCGCCGGTCACATCTGCCGTTTCTTGTTCATGATCGGTTCACATATAAAAGTCCGTGACAAATCAGTATGTAAATAGATAATTTATTTTTTGTATTCACATGAAGCAGAATTTCAAAATCTTATGCGTGAAAAGAAGAAAACACTTGCTACAAATGCCTTCAACTCGACATTTGAATCAGTCTGATTAAAATCAAATCTTCACTAGCTCCTTTTTATTATGTTTGTCGCGTGAAGCGACAAACAAAACAAGAGGCCCACAGGCCTTATAGGTCACCTGAGTATCATGTAACAACTTTCCAGCGATTGTATTTGGTTCGTGTTTTAATCCAAAAGCCATGAAATTCACAAATTTTGAAAGGGGTACCATTGCTTATCAAAGGGCAGATTTCAAAGCATTTATTTTTAGTCAAAGTACCCCCCAGGTACCCCTGATCCAGCGGCCCTGAAATTATCTATTTTGAAAGAGGCCCCTTTTTTCATTATAAGGCCAGTGTTTTTTTTTTTTATGTTTAGGTTTAGTTATGAACATGAGAATAAAAAAGTCCCGAAGGAGAAGGAAATAAAAATTGTTTTTGATAAATCAATTATTAACATTTGTACATTCTTTTTTTATGCTATCCTAATAGGCTCCTTACCACTGGACACATAATGCATACAAATAGGAAAGTAGAACATTTAATTGCTTATTTCATCAGCTGCCAGTTTGGGCCAGTTATATAAATTTTGTGATGTTGATCAAAATATATTTTAAAAAATCAATTCTTTAAAAGTCTTTCAATATATCTTCATTTTTTTAACTTGCCTTTTAATAGTTGAATTTTTTTTTTATTTCTTCAGGTTATTGTTTATTTCTTCCTCAAATGGACTTCATTTCTCCCATAGTTTTATTCATTACATCTGATGCATAAGCAACCCTTTTCTGAAGAATTATGCTTAGACTGTAAGCTATAACAGAGACCTAAACAATGTCCCTGGCAATATGCAATAGCTACCACGGGAAGTTTAAAACCTGGGGGAGGAAAATAATTTACAGTTACTTTTGAAACGAAAACATAATTATCTCACCAGCATGTCATTATGCAACAAAGTCGTCAGCATTTTATTTGTCCTTTGAACGGATGAAACGTTTTGAATGGCACTCTTATCGATGAATTTTACACTAAACCAAGCTATCTTCTTAGATCTAGTTTTATTTACCCGCCGTTTCATCGTAAAACCGGAAGTGCGAGTTCGTAAATTTGAAATCTCGATCCCGACTCAAATTTGACATCGGAAAGGAAAAAATTGTTTTATTTTTTTCTGAAAATTCAAAACCTTGAGCGGAGGGTTTGTAAAACTGAAAATAAAATAAATCCTGGCCTTAAATATGTTATTAGATCATTAGCATATTAACCAGGAGCAAAGGATAAGATGTTCAAAGAATTCATGCATTTCAATATAATCATTAGAGCCCCACCCTAAAACAAGAACCCCTGACCCTGGGGCCATAAAATTCAGAATTTTGGTAGAGGCACTCTTGTTTATCATAACTATGTACTTAGTTAGTTTATTTAATACCCAAGAGCAGAGAAGAAGATTTTCAAAGAATTCATGTATTTTCACTATATAATCAATAGAGCCCCACCCTAACACCAGAACCTCTGACCCTGGGGCCATAAAATTCACAATTTTGGTAGAGGCACTCTTGCTCATCATAACTATGTACTTAGTTGGTTTATTTAATACCCAGGAGCAGAGAAGAAGATTTTCAAAGAAATAATGCATTTTCACTACCTACTTATTTAGCCCCGCCCTAGCACTAGAACCCCTGACCCCAGGGTCATGAATTTCACAATTTGGTAGAGGACTTATTCTGATTACAATCATTCAAACAGTTTGACTGCTTGATGTCCAGGAGTAAAGAAGAAGATTTTTAAAGATTGCATTAATTTTAGTGGTTTTGGCCCCACCCCTCAGGCCCCAGGGGGGCAAAGATCATGAAATTCACAAATTTTGTTCCCCTTCACCCATAAATGCTTTGTGGCAAATTTGGTTGAAATTGGTTCAGTGGTTGCAGAGAAGAAGCTGAAAATGTTCAAATGTTAACACACGACGAACGACGCACGACGCACGACGACGGACGAAAACAGATAGCAATAGGTAAACTCAGGTGACCTAATAAAAAGGAGCTAGTGAAGGTTTGATTTTAATCAGACTGCTCGACATTTAGATATATCGACGACGGACCATTGTCAATTAACAATAGTAATTTTCATTCTTATGTCGATACAATATACTAGTATCCTGATCAGCTTTAGATAAAAGATAGCATAGAGTCTGACACATATGTTCATATTTAGATAGTTTACTTGAAAAGACGTTAAGTGGTAATCTAACAACCAAGTTCTATGATAAAAACTTGTCAATCGTCAACTTCCCTTACTTATGCAGCAATTTACCTTCATCAACTGCATACGAAGTTTATAAGGAAGAACAGGACTAAAAGCAAAAAATAATTACTTTTTTGTATAATATGTTTAAATGTTGTTGTCTAGGTTAAAGTTTTTCAAAAGTAGGTCACACTCCAAGGCCAAGGTCAAGTTTGGTATGTACCCAAAGAAAGGTTTTGTCACAAGGAATACACCCGAGAAATATAAAATTCTTAGGACAGACTGTAAAAAAAATATAGTAAGTGTTTGAGCCTTTCTTAAATGTGGGCCAAACTCAAAGGTCAAGGTCAAAAATAATTATATCCATAGAAAAATCTTGTCATAATGAATATACATGTAAAATATGAAAGTCCTAGCTCCATCTGTTCAAAAGTTGCAGCTACATGTAAGGTTTAAGTTTGAAATTTTTTGCAAAAGTGAGTCCAACTCCAAGGTCAAATATATGGGTTCCTAAAAAGATATATTATCAATAAAGATGTGAAATGTAAAAGCCATGACTCCAAATTTTGGTATCTTTTGCATAGGCGTCGGAACCGGGGGGGGGGATAGGGGGAGAGGGGCTTAGCCCCCCACTTTTTTTGCAAATGTATACATAATATAGGCATTGAAAATTGGAGTTTACCTTTTTTTTGTTGGTTTAGCCCCCCCACTTTCAATTTGCTTCCGACGCCCATGTTTTGCAAACGTGGGACATCCTCCAAGATCATAATATCGAATGTATTGGTACCCAAATAAAGCTCTTGTCGCAAGTAATAAACATGTGAAACATGAAAGTCATAACTCCAACCATAGCTCCAACCAATCATAAGTAATGAGCAAGAAAAAGTTCTTGCAGACAAACAGAAACAGGCAGCCGGACGGACAGGGCAAAAACTTTATACTGATTAAAGTGACATTAAAATTATTAGAATTATTAAATCTTTTAACAAAGGGTAAAAAAAAAAACATTGAATGGTGTGAACAGTGGAAAGGATAAAGTACGAGGTAAACTCTTATTAATAACAGATAGATCTCCATTACATCTTAGTAGCAAATTCTAAAAAAAAATAGCATTTCAATTTAAAACCTATTATTAGAAAAATACACTTTAAATATTAACCCGCCATAGCATGATAATAACACAAAGTAGGCCTCTGTAGAAGTCGTTTACACTTGCAAGTGGTAGATACATTATAGAATATAGATCATCGACTATGTTGAACTTGTACAGTGTAATATATTAGATGATAAAACACTTTTTTTGGTGAATAATGTCAGCAAATGTTTCTAAGAAATATGTCACTCTCTAGATCTGAAATCAATCATGTATCAACACGAGTTTTCTAAATTACAAGCCACACAATAAAATACAATTAATTTTAAAAAGAAATGCACAATGTGATAACTGTTAATATTTTGATAGAAATAACAGGACTGATTTTTTTTTTTCAGAGAACTTTCTCATTTCTTGATGTATCATTTTCTCAGTTTTGATCCAAGTGATCTACTTATTTAAATCATTTAAGTATCATAAATATAGCCGAGAAACTTGCTGACATAAATTATATTTAATCAAGGATTATTTTCATTAAACGTGTATTTTTATCATATTGTTATTTTATTTTCTTATAAACAAAACAGTTTTCAATGGATATTTATTTCATCATAAAACATTTCATACAAGTCATGGATTTAATTTTAAAAGACATTTTTGAAGAAAAATAACTTAACACGTTGTAACAGGCATGATAATGTGCGAATAAAAAATAATTATTATTTTAATGACATCCTGGTAAAATGCAATCTTTAGTAGATTTAAATGAACAAATGGTTCATCATTTCCTCCAATACCAGGCATATGTAAGAACAACGAACAAAATTTAAAACAATTCTAAACGCATAAGGTAAAACATCAAAGATGAAGAGTCCTGAATGTGTGGCTCCATTAACGTATAGTAAAATTGGTGTTTACGTTACAAAAGTTATAGCTTAGTCTTGAAAACTATCCAACGATACTCAGCGATGAGTGCTGTTGGCGGATCTAGGAGAGCGGAATGTGCTCCTGGGTTCTATCGGTGGCTGCTCCTGCCAGTATTTGGCCCTATCGTACAGGTAGCCTAGACTCTGCTGAGAGGTGGTGTTAATGTCTCTCTCCACACGCCTACCTGCCGAGGACTCTAAAACGAGATTAAAAAGGAGAAAATTAATTCCAAAGTTAATACACAATTAGAGTTTCCTCTTATGAAGGAAAAACATGCTGACTCGGTACCAAATAAAAGGTCTATGGTTTACAGTGCCCACTTTTGTGTGTCACTTTTGCCCTGCTGTTCTTTCCTAAGAATTTGACCCATATTGCAAACCCATAAGGTCATGAATTAACAAACTGAAGGAAATTTTAATTGTCGCTTTTAGTGCATGCATTCTGAGAATATTTTCATTCAGAAATTCAAACAAATCTCAGGATCAGTAATATAAAAGCACCATTGGTAATGATACATTTTGATGTGATTTACGGCCCAGTTTATCGGAAGAGCATTCACGGTACCATGGTTTTAATAAATGTGAATTCATGTTGAAAATGGATTTTTTTTTAATAATATAACTAATCATCGCCTTGTTGTACAAGATTTTGTAAAGGAGATATTTTTCATACATCCCTACTGTAGCCCATCGCTACCTCTTGATTATGAATGGGAAAAAAAAAATTGAAGCTTGACTTCTCGAGAATGCTTTAAAAATTTATTAAGAATTTTAAATATCCTCCCATATGTTGCTTTGTAAAATTTATTATCGGTTCATAATTTACTTGGCGCAACCGTACTCCATGGGGTCATTTTGAAAAACAAATAGATCTGTACTATGCATCCTAGGATGCATGCACATAAAGTTAACATGACTAATCATATCCCCATCGAACAAATATGAACCCTATCTGTGACAAGTTTGGTTGAACTGATTCACAATGAAAAAAAAGATACTAGTATCACACGATAGAGAGTCGTGAAACAGTTTTTAAGGTGTTTTCTCCCTTAAACTTGCCCAGCAAAACTAATTTCCATCACATTTACCTATTCCTGCCTCCGTATGGACCATGATTTGAACAAATTTGAATCAGTTCTTAGTACTTGGAAACTCTCACTCTAGTTTTGTCTTTTAATTGCCCAGTGCTTCTTGACATTTATTCTGTCTCTGAATTATAGTTTTAAAACAATGAAAATGCATTATTTGGGAATGTGTCCTTGGTAATTTGATTTACATTGCGTCTTTTTTGTTTTTTGAAAAAAAATCTATGGGTTTTTTTTTCCATACATTATCCGATGTAAAACTGTGATCCTTTATCTTGCCCTATGGAATATGATTTGAACACAGAATCAGTGACACCCGAGGATGTATGAAATTTGATGTACATGTAGATATAATGATCGTGATGTTTCGGAGACTTTAGATTAACTTTGATCACTTAGGGTGACACAACCCTTTTCCCGTGGATTTAAATAAAATCTGAGGATGCTTGCATCTTTATATTACTAATCTTGACATAAAGATTTTTTCACATCAATTTCTCATGAAAAAAAATATTTTCTATTTTACCTCAACCTAATCCATGTATTATAATGTAAACAAACTAGACAAAGTTAGTTGTCAGACTTTGATTTGAAGACCTTTAAATGCGCTTACAATTAGAAACATACAAATTGCAATGTATACAACGGATGAAGACGGTCATAATTTAGAAGAAGAAGGCATTAAATTTGTAGATCTGACTTGTTTTCTGGTTCTGTCATTCAAATATTACTTGTCAGTGACTATAAAAAATTTTCTTTATATATCTACTGAGTAACTGAAATTAATGAAAGTGGTGGAGTTGTTAATTTCACCTACTTCTTGCATAATCAAAGTATTGTTTGTCTGCGTAAAGCTCCTCCAGAAGCAATTTCCATTTATTTTCTGACATTCTGACTCTGTTTATTGCCTCCAAATCAAGAGCTTTTCCTCCATGAATGTCTCCAAACATATCACTCCAGAGGGCTTGATTGCGCTTACGGTGAACCCTTTGTAGTGGTGGTAGGTCTTTAAGTTTGGGATCTTCGCGATATAATGGCAAGTGTATTTCTCCCTCGACAATTGGTAAATCTGGATCTATTCTTTTCTTTCGCATGACTCTCCTGAGCGGAATTTTGTTTATCTTTAAATCTCCATAGGTTGATGAATTTGACTTCTTCTGAAAAAAAAAATTCTATAATTATTTATAAATTTAAACATAATCTTGAAAAAATCATAAAATGTCTTTTCAGGAAGAACTGACTAAGAAGTATATATAATTAAACATTACATTGGAAAACCGTGGTTGACTTGTTGTCGAAGATAAATTCCAATGACAAAGTCAGTGAAAAAGACAAATCATATTAATGATTTCGATGAATCTCCAGGCGTAGAAATCTTTCTAAGCTACTTTTCTGTAATATTTAATCAGAATTTTGTAACTGAAGATAAATTCAAATACAGTAGGTTAGCTTTCCAATACGGATGTCCTTCATTAACAGAACAGAGACATTTTCCTGATATGTTTGTTGATTTTGATTTTCCTATCTCTTTAGTTGGTTGATTCAATATTTAGTATGTGTGCTGCTTCAGTATGCTGCTTCTGAAGATCTTAATGCCGATTTGATTAAAATAAATATTACCTAAAAATCTTAAATGTATAAATTATTTTGCAAACATTTTTTTAAAGAAATCTTATAAATACAATTCGCTGAAAATAAACAATTAAACATAGCAGTACATATTGAGCTTAAAGACGCTACAAAACCTAATCCCTTTTATAAAGATAACCATCTGTTTTCGAGACTGCGAGGGATTCAGCAGTCTTAAAGCATTACAGAGTCCAGTCACGACAAGGATTATCATCATCAACAATTCTTTATAGGAATATAATTTAATTTTACTTGTAACACGTCATTTGATTGGATAAAAGATTTTATCCATTTTGTATAACATAACTTGCCTACGTCACAATGAGTTACGTCAAAAAACGTATTACTCCGCTTGACGTTACTTTTAAAATTTAATCAATGTGAAGCCTTATTCTGGGGGAAAAATTGTCTCATTGTCTGCACTGAAATTGAATTATAAGTAATGAAGCTCATTTCAACTTATATTATTACTTATAATATAAGTTTAAATAAGCTTCATTCCTTAAAAATTATTAAATACAATGTGTAGTTTCATTGCAAATCATCATCATCTGAGAGAGGAATTGAAGATCACACTCGAAGTGAAGGAATCTTCTACTGATTTTATTACAATTCTATTGATTCTATTACTGATTCTTTTAGATAAAGAAATATTTCATATGCATATACCTTCTTCTTTTTCCTCCTTTTCTTTTTCTTGGATTCCCATTCCCCGTCGAGATCTAAAACGGTCGCTCTTTTCTTCCAACCCGCTTGTGACATAAAATCATACTCATCCGACTCGAAATCAGTGTCTATCAGATCCGGGATAATCTGTGGGCCTTCTTTTTTATTTTCAGCAGATTTGTCATCGACACTTGCGTCATTCTTTAGACCTAACTTATTTTTCCCTTTTTTGATTTTTTCTCGAGCCAGTTCTTTAAGTCTCTGTACAGCACTTTTAGTGCGGGGTTCAGCAACTTCCAGCTCGTCGACTCCTTCTTTTCGCCGTCTGGCATCAATCCATTCCTCGGAATCCATCTAAAAGAAACACGCACGATTTCATTGTAAGATTACGCCTCGAAAATACTGTATACAGCTTAAGTTTCGTTCCAGTTTTATTTTCGCTTAACACAGAGCCGTGGGATCAACACTAAAAAATACTGAATAAAATATTAAATGATTACATTTCCATTTTAAAGAAGTACATTTTCAAAATGGTAACACTGATTACGTTTGGAATACGCAAAAATATTCCCTAGCGAAATTGAAGCTGTATCCAGTAAAAGTGATTATATAAGATTCTCTGCTGTTCAGTTTGGTTGAACTGCAGCTTTGAGCAACAGATATCATTATTGCAATAACACACTATGTTGTGTACGTTTTCCTTTAAAAAAAAACATCCCAAAATAATTGAACAGTTCCCTTATAGTTTATAAAGTTTGTTATCAAAATTAAATTGTTGGCGAGTAACGAAATAATTATAAATTGTAGAGGAGAGTTCCTTTCAAACATAACTAAATTTGGACGAACACAAAACTGCTATGCACTTTAAAAATCAGTTTCCCAGTTAATACCAATGCTGAAATTATAGATACATTTATTTTTCTCATTCTTATATATCTCGAGCTCGTTGTTTATTACTTTCTTCATTTTGGCAAACCCACAAGTTTTAATATGTTCAGTCTATGAATATTGTCTGCAAGATGCATTTGAAAAAACTGTTTTAAACCACTGAAGTTAAATAATAGAGTATTAATCTTCCTAGGAGAAAACGAAGGCGTTGAAAAAAAGGAAATCGTGCGTGTTTCTTCCTACACATCGCGCACCACTCTTTTGTTATTTTCAGAATGTTAACGGCCTTGCATTTGGCTGCTTGATTTTTTAAAAATGAAATTTGATGATAAATGATGTTTGTGAAGGAAAAGATGAAAAATGTTGCCACAGCACAGTGAACTGATTGGTATTACTAGTATATGGAAAGTTAATTTTAAAAAATCAAAAAGAAAATGACTTGCTCAACAACCAGAAACGGGAAGATATACTAGAAAGTATTTGGTTAAACTATTGTGTAATACATTAGAGCAGTCCAATTAAGGTCTACTATTTCAAACACTGATAAAATAGCGTTTGATGTACTTCTTCAATTTAAATGATTATCTTACCAAAATCAAAAGAATACATATTAATAGTTCTTACCATCTGCCGAAGTTTGTATTCATCCATAAAGTCATCGTGTTTGAGTGCCTGTTTAAAAAAAAATTCAATCTTTGTCAGTTAAATACTACTCAAAATTCCCTGATACAATGTACAATGTGACAGAATTTGTCATACTGTTCTTAGTTACAACAATGATAATGGACTTAGAGGTTTTATAAGGAGTAAAATAAAATATAAGGGTTAAAATAATATTGATTACCGACATCGGATTTCTAAACCCGAGAAAAATACCCAATAATAGCCGTAATATTATTAGATTATGATTTATAAGACTACTGAACATTATTTAGACATTATTCATAACAGTTTTAACGTCAAGACAAGACAAAATAAGAAAATTTGGAAAGAAATTCCTCTTAGAGACCTACTACAGGGATACTTATTGACTTAAAGCAATACATCAATAACATACTTACAACGATGTTCAAATTAAAGTATTTCTGATTTTTTATTATTCCTAACTGGTATGACCTTGAAAACTTCCAATAATAAATGAGTACAGATTAAAACTAGTTTTTAAGTACAGTAAAACAGTTATGTCAAAAGTAGTCTGGGCTGAATACACCTTTACATCTACTTATCAAAGTGTTTGATATAATGGTTAAACTTTTATCTGGTAAATAATATCCATCACATATATTAAAGTTTAAACTTTGCCATGTGATTTAAGAATAAATACTATGGTAATGAAACCTCCATTCTCTTTTCTTATGGAATACCTCATTATGATGATCTAAAAGTCTTTCATTCATGTCTGGCTCGACTTTAGTTGGTGTGACGGGCTCCTCGTCATCATAAAATAGTCGGGTAATATCGTATACAGAATCGTCTGGTAAGCCCAGATCCAAGGTTGGGGTAAGTGCGCCTTGTTCCATTCGGATTCTCTCTTTCTCCTCCCTCTCTTTTCTCTCCCTTTCTTCCTGTTCCTCTTTTGCTTTACGAGCCTCCTCTGCGAGTCTTAATTTCCGTTTGTGACAATAATAGATCAGTGCTAACACGATAGCCAGAACCACAAGAAAGGCTAGTATGCCCAGTACAATTTCCACTGTGGCAGAATATGTTGTGCTGGTTGCTGTAAAATATGCACATTTATTTAAGGTTTTAAAAACAAAGCTAAAAGTTCTTGTGAAAATTTATTTCATGTAACAGTACATGTAATTTGATTCATGGTAAAGAATTTTATTTCAAAAAACGAATTTTTTTTTCTTTTGTCTTTAAAAACGCATTACTTTTTTGTCAATACTAAAATATATATTACGGCATGTCGAAAGAAGAGATAAAACAAGCAGTGCCCCGTCTGAAGCAGCATATGTGGAATTGCCATTTGGTGGACAATCTTGTGGACTTTGTGACAAGTAGACAGCGCCACTATCGGAAGAATACATCTGAAAGAGAAACGTATTATAAAAAATAAATAAAACTAAAAATATGTCCATAGAACATGAATGATGATCTAAAAGTCTTTCATTCATGTCTGGCTCGACTTTAGTTGGTGTGACGGGCTCCTCGTCATCATAAAATAGTCGGGTAATATCGTATACAGAATCGTCTGGTAAGCCCAGATCCAAGGTTGGGGTAAGTGCGCCTTGTTCCATTCGGATTCTCTCTTTCTCCTCCCTCTCTTTTCTCTCCCTTTCTTCCTGTTCCTCTTTTGCAGTCCAGAGATCCAAATAATGCAAGCAGAAAATTTGTATTAGTGTTCAAAGTTTTAAAGAGTTCATTAGGAAGGTCAAAAACTTAATATGAAATTAGAACACAATTGAAAGATTTTTCACTAAATGATAGCACAGTTTTGTGTGAATTGCCTCAAACAATTTCTTTAAAACTTAACTATAAGCAAATTAAAAATAAAAGAAAAGTATGGTCAAAGGAAACGGTGCATGTAAATAGCATTCACCAAAATGTATCAGCATGGATAGTTTGGTAAAAAAAAAAAACAACAAGAGGCCCATGGGCCTTATAGGTCACATGAGCATCATGCAACAACTTTCCAACGATTGAAATTGTTCATGTTTTAAACAAGACGTCATGGCATTAACAATTTTGACAGAGGCACCATTGCTTATCATAATTATACACTTAGAATGCTTACTTTGGTTACTTAATACCCATAGATAAAGTAGGGGAACAAATGCATTTCGACTAATCAGTAATATTCAGCAATAATCAGTAGTGCTACTACCAGGCATGAACTCCTGACCACATTTCACAATTCTGGAAAAGACACCCTTGCTTATCAAGAATGTTTGATTAATACCAAGGAGCATATTTCAATCAATTAATTCATTTTCAGTATATATGTAGAGCCCCCCCCCCCCCTGTACTCCTGACCCAGGGGCCTTCAAAATTCACAATTCTGAAAGAATGGCCCTTGCTCATCATAGCTATATGTGTAGTTCATCTGCTTAGTGCCCAAGAGCAGAGAAGAAAACTTTCAGAAATTTAATGTATTTTCACTATATAATTAATAGACCCTGCCCTAACACCAGAACCCTCTGACCCTGGGAAAATAAAATTCACAATTTTGGAAGAAGCATTCTTGCTCATCATAACTCTTTACTTAATTAGTTTGTTTAATACCCAGGAGCAGAGAAGAAGATGTTCAAAGAATTAATGTATTTTCACTATAAAATCAATAGAGCCCCGCCCTAACACCAGAACCCCTGACCCCGGGGCCATAAAATTCACAATTTTGGAAGAGGCAATCTTGCTCATCATAACTTTATACCGGTACTTAGTTTGTTTAATACCCAGGAGCAAAGAAGATGTTCTAAGAATTAATGTATTTTCACTATATATTCAAGAGAGCCCCTCCCTAACACCAGAACCCCTGACCCTGGGACATAAAATTCACAATTTTGGAAGAGGCACCCTTGCTCATCATAACTATATACTTAGTTTGTTTAATATCCAGGAGCAGAGAAGAAGATTTTCAATGAATTTCTGCATATCTTTATATAATCAACAGAGCCTCGCACTGACACCAGAATCCATGACCTTGGGGCAATAAAATTCAAAATTTTGGAAGAAGCATTCTTGCTCATCATTACTATGTACTTAGTTAGTTTATTTAATACCCAGGAGCAGAGAAGAAGATTTTTAAAGAAATAATGCATTTTCACTATATAATCAATAGAGCCCCACCCTAGCACTAGAACCCCTGACCTTAGGGCCATGAATTCCACAATTTTGGTAGAGGACTCAATGGTCATTACATTCATGCTAACAGTTCGACTGCTTGATGTCCAGGAGTAAAGAAGAAGTTTTTTTAAAGATTGCATTAATTTTACTGGTTTTGGCCTCACCCCTCAGGCCCCAGGGGGACAGGGACCATGAAATTCAAAATTTTTGTTCCCCTTCACCCATAGATGCTTTATGCCAAATTTGGTGGGAATTGGTTGAATGGTTGCAGAGAAGAAGCTAAAAAAATGTTCAAATGTTAACACACGACACACGACGCACACTGCATGACGACGGACGAAAACAGATAGCAATATGTCACCAGAGTTTACAGGTCATTTGATTGATGAAAGGTTTTGTCCATTTTGTATATTATAACTTGCCTACGTCACAATGAGTCAAGTCAAAAAACGTATTACTCCGCTTGATTAACTTTTAAATTTTGCTATATTTAAAGCCCTTTTTCGAAGGAAAAACAAAATGGAAAAAATTGTCTTATTGTCTACATTGAAATTGAATTATAAGGAATGAAGCTTATTTCAACTTTTATTAAAAGATATAACATAACTTAGGGCAGTATACGCTTTTTTATAAACCGCTTCGCTTCAGTTCATGGTGGGATCAATTGAGTTGGTTGCGTGATAATTTGCATAAACGCTGAAATTATCACGCAAGCCAATCGATTGGTCATCGTCATGAAACCATAATAAAGCCCCACCTCTGTCTCCTTGTCTCGTCTTGCACATGACCTTTTTTTACGGCGCTATCGATGAACCAATAGATTTATGTAGAAATAGAGTATATTAATTTACAATTTTTGTAATTTTATCTCGGACAAAGACATTGGAGAAGTAAATATTAAAAGGTAAATATTTTTAGGCTTGAATGAGGGTTACAATTTTTTTAAAAAGTCAAGTGTTCATGTACTTACATAACAAGTGAATCTGTAAGTTGACTGTTCATTAGTGCTGGAATCTTTGTTGTACACATACAGGTTGGTGTAGGAGCCAGTAGTATAGGAATGAAGGCAATATAACTCGCCATCAGCTGTAAAGTCATTGAGTGAATCGTATTTTTTTTTTTTGTAAATCTGCTAGTTTAATTAATTTACACATGCAAAACATTTCTATCCCTGCTAATCATTGATTTCATTGAATAATTATATTAATAAATGAATACAGCTGTGAGATAGACAGAGTTAATTTACATAAAATTATACAGCAGATGCCAAATACAAAGCTACATGTATATCACAAAATGATCGATTATGTTACTAAATTTTTGAACAACTAGATGTTAAATAAACGAATAAAAAATATCAAACGCACTTGAATATGCCTGGACTTGAGAACATTTTGAATAGTCAAAGTCCAACAAATTTTTGTCAGTGCAGACATCAAGATACGCGTCCCCGCACACATTCCCACTTCCGGCATCATAAGTATAATTCCAGCTGCTTTGGAGTTCGGTTGGACAAGTAATTTTTGCATCATCGATTTTTCCTTCAAACAACATAATTTATATTATATCATTATTTATAAAAGATTAAAAAAATAAAATATATACCGGTATTCTGAGGAATAACCGATTTCTTAATATCAAACATTGTATAAAATTGAACATCATTTTAATAGAAGATTATCTTTTTTTTTTTATTTACTAGTATTTTTTTTATTGAATCTGTATACGTCGAAAATATTATACTTCAAATGCTTCATATTTTTCATTTAAAATAGCAGTATTGTGCTACATGAAAACTCACCTTCTAGAATGCATTTATAAATTCATAATTAAAATATGATAATGTGATTCTTAATCAGTACACATAATTGTTATTTCTAGATTAATATACTGCGATTTTTACCATATATACTGTGTAAATGTTGTAAACGTATAAATTTTTTATTAATTATTTATAAATTAAATATCATGTAGACATAATGATAAATATTATCTTCGATTAGGGGGTATATAGTTTTTGCTCTGTCGGTCCATCTGTTTGTCTATCTGTTTGTCCGCAATAACTTTAACCTTGCCTATAACTTTTGAGTGGGTGGGGCTATGACTTTCATATTTCAAAGGGGTATTCCTAGTGACAAGACCTTATTTTGGCTACCAACAAACCTTACCTCTTGATCGTGGGGTTTGACCAGCGTTTACAAAAAATACCAAACTTTAACCTTGGCAGTATCTTTTGAACAGTATAAGCAATAAGGCTTTCATGTTTCACAGGTGTTTTATTTGTGACAAGATCTTCCTTTAAATTCCAACAATATTTACTTTTCGAGCTTGACAATGGAGTTTTACTTGCATCATTTAAAAAAACTTAAACATAAATTATCTTTTTCGTCCTGTATTTACCTTCTTCCACCATGATGTGTTGAGTTAGATTAGTGGCGGAAGTTGCGTCACAGAAATCCGTTAACGTGGAGACAACTTTATTGTCATCTTTCAGATAGATCTTAATTCTTTCATTTCCGGCATCACTGAGTTCAGCTTAAACCAAATAAAGAAAAATTACTGATATTACAGAATATTACATTCTTTATCATTCTATTTTCATAACAAAAAACATAATACTGTGGAATCACAAATTTTCTTTGGGGGGGGGGGGGGGGTAATTTTCGTTGTTTTCAAGGTATGAAGAGACCTATTTTTTCATGTCCACCACAAAATGTAAAAAGTTACATACATAACTACGAAACAATTCTACATTCACGAAATCAAATCCCCACAAACCAAGAGTTTTTTCCTCAAACCACGAAAATTTGACCCCACGAAAATAGGTGATTTTACAGTAACCGTCAATGAGAAGCAGAGTCTTATACACTGATTTATTGCGTTATTAATCAATCAGTATCCTTGGCCGTAAATTATTATAACCCGTATTTTACAACATGAATTAAAACAATTGGCATCATACAGATTGAACCTATGGTATACCTTAAATTAATCAAAGTACTGAAAGTACTGTTAGACGGAGGCTTCATGTATGAGAGAATACAAAAGAAAACATTTAATATATTTGTCATACATTGCTGTAAAGAATATTATGAGGAATAATATGTAGTTTTTTTCAATTCAACATTTTTTAAAAGGATATTCCAATATTCATGAGGTTGTTGGGATATTATGATTTCATCTTTTTAATGTAAACTTCACCTTGATTAAAGTTCACTGTTATTTCGATCAAATACTTTCAATATTAAACCCTTCAACGTAAGAAACAGTAATTGACCAGGCCTGGTTGACATAAAACTTAGACGAGCTCTTTTTTTTTTTTATCTCAGTCTCTCTTAAGGAATATATAGTGGAAAAGTGAGACTGAGATCAAAAGTGAGCTTGTCTAAGTTTTATGCCCCCAGGCCCGGTTTGATGAATGTAGGTCTAGTCTGTTCCAGTCATGAGCCCACTGGCGGATTTAGAAGGGGCCCCAGGCCCCCTCCCTTTTGAATCCAAAAAAAGAACAATATTTGATAAATGAATGTTTTTAATTGTGGCTCTGGGCCCCTCCCCTGACCTCAAACTGGTCCCCCCTTTTTCAAAATTTCTGGATTCAGCACTGGGCCTCAGCCAGTCAGGAGTTTCCATATTTCAAGATATCTTATTTATAGATCACAGAGACCTACTGTTAACATAATTATGACATGTAACAGCTACCAAAATCAAAATTTCTCGGCCTTATTGTAATAATGTTATGATATGAGCCAACATGAAAAAAGAAGCAGCCAGATAACTGGACATGAACAACATAATATAGCACATTTTGTCTTAAACCTTTGTGATACAAAATGGGGTGACCTAGCTTGAAAGCAACACAGAATTTTTTTCAAGTAATACAACTTCATTAACGTGCAATAAATGTTCGTGCCAGAACACAATTTTGAACAAAAAATTCATAAGACTTGCTATTTCACAAGTTTTTGTTTTTGGAGAACTAGAGTATTGCTTACAATAACAAAGATATATCTTGACAAATTTGACAACCAATATTTCTGGAAGTATTAAATGTAGTATTATATCATATGACAGATTTAACCCAAAAAATGTCTTTCTTTACTCGTATACCAGTGGAAATGGTTGTCCTTTTTCAGTTTATCTGTTTAAAACAATCATTAACAATGAGACATGATTACAAATTATGTAGAGAAAAAGTTATAAATATATAGAGTAACTATGATTTCTGCTTTTCAGTAACTCTGTTAAAATAATCACTTTACCAATGATGTAGGGTAAAAAAAATTGACACGAATACCAATGATAAGAAATACATGTAATCTTATATATTAAAAAAAAATAATTAAAGTTTGAGATGTGAAAGAGGTAAAACACAAGTATCAAATGCAAATAAGGATAAACGATATGACAATAAGACAACTTATTTCAGAAGATATAATTTTTAATTATTAATCAGGATATAATGTGATCAATCATGTAAATCCTATGAACCAAGATTTGGGTTGTAACCAAGGGTCAAACGTAACAGATGCATATTGATCTCAATATCAGAGTTGCCGTTTGTTTCTCTCTTATCTAATGTGAGGGTACGCCAAACACTCAAACCGCTTGTAGAAAGTGTAAATTTATTTTCATGTGTTTCCTAAAATTATACATATCAAATAAACAATTCAAAACTAGACTTAAATATTCCTACAGATACAAATACTGTGTATGCATTTGTTTATTCATCGATCCTTGTCAGGTTACAAAACTCACAAAAAAACCTATTGACGCAAGCGTCAAAAATCGGAGGCAAACAAATTCATCGGTCCTTTCAAGAAGAAATTAGAAAAGGAATGAAAAATGAGATTACAAACAGCAATCAAGCACAAAAAAAATTCCATTGAAACTGAAATGCTTGATCTATTATCTTATATTTATCCCTGTGACATAAAACATTTGCATGCGACATTGCAGGATATTCTTCAATACATAATACACAGTCATCTGCGTCTCCACACTCAGTTTGATACAAGCGAATTCTGGTGGAAGTTTTTACAATTAAATATAAAACTAAAGTTTAAACTTATCTGTAACTAGAGATAGTTTTTCCTTTAATAAAAGAAGCAATTGATAAGTGGGGCTCCTCGATCACTCTCCGCGGATGTTAAAACCCCCCAAACTCCCTCTAGATCCGCCACTACATTTCTTCTCGTTCTTGTTTTGGTGTGAGAATCGGTGGGAAAAGGCTCGGCATATTGTAAAACGCGCTTTATCATCGTTTGTTGGAACAAAATCTCCTTATATTCTGTCTGATAAAAAATTTACAGTAAATTACATTTTTTTTACATATTCCTTAGGAAATGTATTTATATACACGTCATTTTAAATATGTTCGACAAATCCTGTTTATTTAGAAAAAGTAGAACTGTTTGTTTATACTTGTTTTTGACGCGATCTTTGCTTTAGACTATGCCTATCCTGGCGGCCGGTGTACCAGTAAAACTCAGAGTCGCTCTAAAAATAGAATTCCAAAGGTAATGAAAACAATTCCACCGATAGATGGTGCTTGGTGAATCCTCATTATTTACGTCATGGGCAAGACATATACAATACACGGAGGCTGTCATACAGCCTCCGTCTAAAAAAGGATGTCTTATAGATAAACTGGAATCGGACATAGTTTAACGCGTTTTCTACAGTGAATTATTATCATCATAACGACACAGATGAGCCTGTATCCTAAACATGCACTAAAACAAAGACATGGATGAATTTGTATCCTATACCGGGCACTAAAACAAGGACACATATGAACCTGTATACTATACCGAGCACTAAAACAAGGACACAGATGAAATTGTATACTATAGCGAACACTAAAACAAGAACACAGATGAACCTGTATACTATAGCGAACACTAAAACAAGGGCACACATGAACCTGTATACTATAGTGTGCACTAAAACAAGGACTCACGTGAACCTGTATACTATAGTGTGTACTAAAACAAGGACACACATGAACCTTATACTATAGTGTGTACTAAAACAAGGACACACATGAACCTGTATACTATAGTGTGTACTAAAACAAGGACACACATGAACCTACATGTACAGTGAGCACTAAAACAAGGACACACATGAACCTAAATGTACAGCGAGCACAAAAACAAGGACACACAGCAACCTGTATACAATAGCGAACACTAAAACAAGAACATATATGAACCTGTATACTGTAGTGTGCACTAAAACAAGGACACATATGAACCTGTATTCTGTAGTGTGCACTAAAACAAGGACACATGAACCTGTATACTGTAGTGTGCACTAAAACAAGGACACACCCGGTCAGCATTTCATTCTCATTTGGCATTAGATAATATTCATAATTTTTGGTTAAATAAAAAGAGGTTACAATAGGCACTTCCCATTCTGGGAGTGTGTAAGATACAAAAGGAAATCGTCGTGATTTTCCGGATAATAATAACGTGGTAAAAGTGCATGGTGAATAAACAAGAGGCCCATGGGCCTTAAAGGTCACCTGAGTATCATGCAACAACTTTCCAACAATTGATTTTGATTCATGTTTTAAACCAGAGGCCATGAAATTCACAATTTTGAAAGAGGCACCATTGCTTATCATAATTATACACTCAGCATGCTTATTTTGGTTACTTAATACCCAGAGGTAGATCAGAGTAACAAAGACAAAATGCATTTCCAGTTTTAGTTAATTTCAGGGCCCCTGGGTCAGGTCCACAGTTGAGCTCCCCATCCCACAGGAACCACTGACCCTGGGGCCACATCTTTCAAAATATTGGATTTTTTAAAAATTTTATTCATCATGTTGTTGATTAATACCAAAGTGCAGATTTCAAAGCATTAAATTATTTCAGACAATGTTACCCCCCCCCCAAAGTTCCTCTGTCCCAGGGGCCAGGTATTTAACTATTTTTGAAAGAAGCAGGTTTTTTTTGTCATAAATATATACTATAAAGATCATTGGCATTATACCCAACAAGAAAGGAAAAGATTTTCAAAGAATTCATGCATTTTCACTAAATAAACATAAGAGCACCGCCCTAACACAAGAAGCCCTAACCCAGGGACCCTGAAATTCAAAAATCTCAAAGAGACATCCTTCCTCCTCATAACTATGTACATAGTTCATTGGTTAAATACCCAGGCGCAGAAAAGAAGAGTTTTAAAGAATTTAAGCATTTTTACTACATAATCAATAAACCCCCCCCAACACCAAATCCCCAAACCAGGGGCCATGAAATTCACAATTTTGGAAGAGGTAGCCTCATTCAACATAACTATGTACTTGGTTAGTTTATTTAATACTCAGGAGCAAAGAAGAAGATATTCAAAGAAATAATTCATTTTTTACTATATAATCTACATGTATATAGCCCCGCCCTAGCACTAGATCGCCTGACCCTGGGCCATGAAATTCACAATTTTGGAAGAGGCAGCCTTATTCAACCAACATAGCTATGCACTTGGTTAGTTTATTTAATGCCCATGAACAGAGAAGAAGAAATTCAAAGAATTGTTGCATTTTCACTATATAATCTATATAGCCCCACCCTACCACTAGAACCCCTGACCCTGGGGCCATTAAATTCATAATTTGAGAAGAGGCAGTCTTATTCAACATAACTTTGCTCTTGGTTAGTTATTTAATGCCCACAAACAGAAAAGAAGAATTTCAAAGAATTTATGCATTTTCACTATATAATCTATATAGCCCCGCCCTAGCACTAGAACCCCTGACCCTGGTGCCATGAAATTCACAATTTTGAAAAAGGCGGTCATTTTCAACTTACCTATGCACTTGGTTAGTTTATTTAATGCCCAGGAGCAGAAAAGAAGAATTTCAAAGAAATAATGCATTTTCACTATATAATCTATATAGCCCCACCCTACCTCTAGAACCCCTGACCCTGGGGTCATGAATTTCACAATTTTGGTAGAGGACTCAATGTTGATTACAATCATACCAACAGTTTGACTGCTTGATGTCCAGGAGTAAAGAAGATTTTTAAAGATTGCACTAATTTTAGTGGTTTTGGCCCCACCCCCCAGGCCCCAGGGGTCAGGGACCATGAAATTCAGAATTTTTGTTCCCCTTCACCCATAGATGCTAGATGCCAAATTTGGTTGAAATTGGTTTGTTGGTTTCAGAGAAGAAGCTAAAAATGTTCAAATGTTAACGAACGACGAACGACGACGGACGAAAACAGATACCAAGAGAAATTATTGTCATCAAAATGACGATGAAGGCCTCTCAAGATGTAAACTCAGGTGACCTAAAAATTGGAAAGTTGTCAACTAGTAAAAACTTGTTTGAATATGCTGTACAGCTGCCAGTGACACAAAGATTATTTTTGCACCGCGCCATGATCACTATTTCAGCTTTGAATGGCCTGTGCTTTCCTTGCATGAATGCTTTGAATTGTGAAAGAACTTTTTTGACATGCTAAATTTTGTTAGCGGCCGATTTGATGCTTTGCATCAATTTTACTTGTTTATGTAGTAATAGCCCGCTATCACCTGCTTTTGGTCTACCTGATCAAGGCGCGTGTGGCCGTTGAACTAGGGGATTCTCACTCCTGCTAGGTACATGTATCTGATCCCATTTCTTCAATGGGTTTGTGTAAATGTCCTATTCAAACAATTGTATTGACTACATTTTTTAGATTGATCAATGTTCCTCCTCATCCTCTGAACTCCGCCATAACTTTTGCTTTTCATTACTAGTATCAGAACGCACATTAACACTATAAACATATGTATATAGCAGGTTCATTTTGACAGTTTTTAACTTCCCTGTTCATATTATTTATTTTTTTAGTACGTCTTTTTCATTGATACTTACTTGTTGGCAGATAGTAGGTAAATTTACTGGATGCCTGTTCTGTGAATTGGAAGCAGAGAAAAGCTTCCAACTTCAGCCCCAAGTAGGAGAACTCTTCTGACCTGGATAAAATGTTGTATTTAAAACATCATGCATGTAGATCAAATCTTTTTTATGCACCTGTAATCGAAGATTTTTCTGTTCATCTGTCTATCTGTTTGACTGTTTTTCCAAAAAAAAAAAAACTTTACTCTTGCCCATAACCATTGATTTAGTGTAGCTATGATTTTCATATTTCACATGTGTATTCCTTTGACATGACATTTCTTTGGGTACCACCAACTTTTACTTTTTGACCTTAACCCTGGAGTTTGACACACTTTTAAAAATTCCAAACCTTAACTTTGGTCCAACTTTTGAAGGAAAAATACTAGGACTTTCATATTTAACATATGCATTCTTTGTAACGAGCCCTTCCAAGGGACACAAACAACTTTGACCTTCTTTCGACCTTTACCTTGAAGACTTCCGTACTTTAAGAAAACCAGAAGTCTCTGTCGAGACTGTAGCTCTACCGGTTTTTACTTATAACAAAGGAAGAGAAAAGAACTTGTTGGGACTTGAAACTTTAAAACAGCAATAAATAGAAAAACGATCCTTGATTAAGTCACTTTTTGTGTCCATATTGCAATTAGACTACAACTGTAAGAGTAGTATAATAAGAATTTAAAGAATTTTTAATTTTAGTTACCATGGCAACAACAATCAACAAAATAAATTTAAAAAAGACAATAAAAGACAATAATAAATCTTAATATACTTTAGAACCTAACCCGCTTTTCCTCCAATCAGCAGCTGCTAAATTTTCTATTAAGTTGCTCACTTAATTGTTAAGATTGTATGTCTATACAGTAACTCCGCGGGCTGACTAATTAGCCAATGAAAAAGCGCGATTAGGTTCTAAGTAAGTTAGATCATATTAAGTAAAATTTTAGTTGTTAAGAAGGGGGCTCGGTCGCTTAGCTCCCTCCGCCCCTTCTTAACGACTAAAATTTTACTTAATATGATCTAACTATTACATATCTGCATGCCACATTATAATCAAACTAAAACTGTACTTGTAAAAGCATTTTTAAAAAAATTTTCACAGAAAAGTCTAATAGTATTTTTAGTTACCACAGCAACAGCGTTCACTCAAAAATCGATAAAATTAAGAATTATGTATCTTAGTGTAGTCAACTTGTGTATCAAGTTATATTGAAATCAGTCCAAAACTGTAGAAGGAGTAGCAATTTGAAAGCACTTCACAGAAATTTCTAATTTTAGTAACCACGGCAACACAAAAACCGATGCATAGAATTTTGTATCTTAGTGTAGTTTACTATTTTTAGTAACCACGGCAACAACTAGCCCTTACCCTTCAAAAGTTAATTTCAAGTGGCTACTGGTATGTATCAGGGTTTTTGTAGTGAAACATTCTGTAATACCTTAATCTGTTATCTCAATTTGGAAATATAAGTTACTTTATTGCATTTCTGTGGTATAATGGCGAGATACATAATCATTTTAAATCACCCTATAGAAGTGAGAAGAGGGTTAAACGGGGTAATGTACAATTTTGTCCCGGGTTGAAAATTGACCCAGGAGGTCATTTTTAGCGTTGAATATTGAGACCAAAGGTGTTTAAATTTAGACCCTTGTCCGTTGAAAATTTAGCAGGATCGTGGAATTTTGATCGTGAAGTTCTAAATACAACAGCATAAAACACACCTTTGAATTGCTCTCATAACTTTATTTATTCAATCAAATACAATTACATACTACAGTTTTTATTCTTTAGAGTAATATGTTTACATTAATATCACTTACTTCTATTCAAGAGTCGCCAGTAAACTTGAATTAAAAGACACCAACGGGTGTGCCACAAATGTTTCATATTGGACTGACTATATTTACTAAAAATTTATTTCCTTATATTTGTGAAATAATATTCCGCTTTCACCTGTATATATGGTGTTTACTTATCTCAATTCCAGTGCGATCGATTTTAAGCTGAAACAGACTACTTGTAGATAGGATAATGTTACAGGGATTTAAGCAACAGTGTTTAAAGAAGGCATTACATAAATCTTTGTCCACTATGTTGAGAGAGGGAGATAACGAACAGTACTCAAGCTCAAAGACCATTCCATCTAACAACACAAATTTTGGAGCAGAGCAAACATTGACCTCTAAACCATGAGAGGTGAGATCAGGTGTCATGGAGGAATGAGCATCCCCTGCCGACCAGTCGCACACCGTGTGCTTCTTGTCGTGAATCGAAAATAACGAAGAAATACCGTCGGCAAGTGTGTCAATTAGTATGAAAAATTTGACTTAATGATAAATTGTATTTGCTGACAAGGTCATTGTATGTGGTTTTTGGAAACCAGTTTTTCCAACAATCTATTTAATTTCCCATGTGTACCAATAAAAATCCGTTATTAGCAGACCTATGTTTGTATTCATATGAAGCAGAATTTGTTCAAAATCTTATAAGTGAAAAGAAGAAAACTTTTACCGAGGCCTTCAACTCGACATTCATAAATATCGACAAAGTATTGTCAATTTTAATGGTTATTTCAATTATATCCATAAGATATATCCCACTGAGCTTGACATGAATACCCCCCCCCCCCCGATTCCTACGCCTATGCACAGAGTCTGACACATCTGATTCATTTTTGGAAATTTTACAAGAAAAAGGCGCCAATGGTCATCCAGCAACCCAGCTTTATAATAACATTTACACGGTGATTTTAACTTTTCAATAGTCAACTTTTTCTACTTGCACAGCAATATACATACAACGTCAATCTAATTAAAATCAGACTTCTTAGATCCGCGCCGTATACACTCTTCTTCTTACGCAGAGTGTATACGGCGCGGATCTAAGAAGTCTGATTTTAATTAGATTGCATACAACGTCTGCATACGGGGTTAATATATATACGAATATATATCTGTTGATTCGATACACAAGAGCAAGCTCTGCGTAAAAAACAATGTCTAAAACTAGATAAATTATTGACAAACATGTTGAAGCAAAATTTAAAGTCATCATTTCGTCAGTTCAATGGCCGATACAATGACATCAGCAAATACAGTCTATCATTAACTTTTAAGGCAAATGCTGACTGAAATTTTTCATAATATTTGATAGCGAGGTCATTATTTACTGAATCGTCAACGGATTTTCCCGAGAGGGGGGGCGATCCTGATAAGAAGAACACTATGAATGTGTCCGTCGGCAGTCTGTGCTCACTCCTACATGGCATCTGATCCCACCTCTGATGTTTTGGAGGTCCGTGTTTGCTCTCCTCCACAATTACATTATTTATACGGACTTTCCAGCTTGATTATACTGTTCATTATCTCCATATACGTGTATGTCATTCTAGGAAAAGAAAAATTTTAAAACTGAATTATATAATATTAATAATTTATAGATAGATATATGGATAATCCCCATAAAACAACTTCCAGTTCAAAAGCAGTTCAAAGGTCTGTAGTTTGGGTCAATATTCAACTGGTTTTTTAACGTATTAAGATCATAAAAGGTTAAAAAAAAAAAGCAGCTGTTGAAATATGACCTGGGATACATAAATTTCACGACTTTTGGTCTCTATTTTCAACTTTGAAAAAATATCCCCAGTTCAATAATCAGCGTTTAAAAATGGTATTTTTTTTTCCAACCAGGGTCGATATTCAGGGGCACCTTTTTACATCATGTATCTTCTCGAACGATTAGAGTGTATTCGATGTGAATTACAGCGTTTGTGTTCTTCTAATGTTGTTTGCAGAGCAGAGCGAAACTTAGGGATCTATTTACCCGCAGTCTGTATGTCTGTCCGTCCCTCCGTCTGTCACACCCTATACATGTATCTTGAGTGCTGAGGCATGGAATGGTGTTGAAATATTCAACACTTTAGAGAAAGAGCAAGTGAAATCATGGGGCATGATCATATCATATGAAAAAGAACTAAGTGAATCAAAGTTACAATCTGTGAGTTACTTCTCTAAGTCAATAAATAAAACCTCAATGTGTATTCACTAGAAATTTAGGCTGAGATCAGTTCGTAACCCTTTAATCGTACAGCAGCTAAGTAGCTTAAAGTTCGGAGAAGTAGAAATCACGATATTAAGCCCCCCTGTGTAACAATCTAACCTGAGAACATAGTATGTGTTGTCCGTTTTCTCGCAGGTAAAGGTATAGGCTCCTATGGTCCACACCTGCCAGCCCACAATGGTTGTGGAGGTGATATTGAGGGTCCCTTTGTGGCTGTCATACCATGTATCTATACCAGACGTCGACCAAAGATTATTTGGCAGGACACATGCGCTCTCTAATATTTCGGAGAAAAATATGTTTAAAATTAATATGCAATGAATGTTTATAATCAATGTAATTAATAATAGGAGGATATAATGAACGTTTTTATACTGGATTACTAGAAAAAAAAATTCACTAAAATTCAAAAGTAACCTTGATTTGACGCTTATTAAATCTTTAGACTAGCATCTTAGAGAAATACCTGTAGTGACCAAAAGACATAACAAAATGATCACACTCTCTGTCCTCATTTTGTATCTAATCCATTTTACAACATAGTAATATGTGTTTTCCTTGTCAGAAACACTTAATTGCTTCTGATCAATCACATCTTTCTGCTCATGTGGACATTTACTGATTGATTTGGTTTCTAAGTGAATAATTGAGATTAAATTTAATATCTTAAAGTCCGTAACCATTAATCTGGATTACCATGAATTTTAAAGATTGAAAAAGTGGGATTTAACAGCCGGTTAACGCAGATTTAGAGTTCAGATCTAAAGACAAGTAAACATAAGGAATGTTACCGATTCCTAAAATGCCTGCAGCCTCTCCCTGTTCTTTATTTTGTTTCAGACCCGGCACAGAAAACGGTTACAGTTGTTGGTTAAAAGTAAATAAAGAATAGGGGTTTTTCTTTTCAGCCGTTTTTCGCGGCTTACATTTACTTCAAAATTTTTAATACTGTATCTATATTATTATATTTCTCCTAAATCATCGAACTAATGAACCAGTTTTATGAAGATTGTTCTTTGGTTATTAATGCCGTATACAGGTATTTTATTTTATAGGGTCCTCAAGAGACGTGTTATCCCACCATTAGGGCAGTAAACAAGTGTAAGGGTGGATGTTAACCTACTCCTTCATGTCATCACCTTTTTCAAACTTTAACTGTTTTTGTCTTTTGACATATTAAAAAAGCGATATTTCTAACTGATGGCATTGATCAATACTTAAAGATTAAAATGGACAGTTTTACTTCAACAAGGTTCGGTAATGTCTTCCCACAAATTTCTGTTTTAATAAAAATTTGTGTTAAGACAATAAGGTCATTATCCTTTTCTTTATAGTTGATAATATATAACAAGATTTGTTTGTAAAATACTGATGTCCCCTTCTGGTAACATAGCGAAGATTAAACTTTTCTTATAAGCAAACTCACTGGAAATACAATACTGAAATCTGAAAGAAGGCCAAGGTTAAAGTTCTTTCAGAAGTACGAAAATCTCCAAGGTCAAAAGATCAAGGTAATTGGTATTCAATGAAAGGTCATGCCACAAAAAATACATATGTGAAGTATGGAAGCCCTAGCCCTTACCCTTCAAAATTTATGGCCAAGGTTAAAAATTTTAAAGTCAAACTCGAAGGTCAAGGTCAAAGGATCAAAGGTCTTGCTATCAAATGAAAGGTCTTGTCACAAGTATTAAATGTTTAAAGAATGAAAGCCATATTCCTTACCGTTCAAAAGTTATGGTCAAGGTCTGCTTTTTGAAAGTAGGCCAAACTCCAAGGTAAAAGGGTCAAAATTCTTGGTATGCAATGAAGAGTCTTTTTACAAGAATTACATATGTGAAGTATGACATCACTAGCCCTTACCGTTCAAAGGTTTTTGCCAAGGTTTTTTCACAAGTACGAAATTCTCCAAGGTCAATGTGGTCAATAGGTCAGAGTAATTTGTATCCAATGAAAGGTCTTGCGACCAAAAATACATATGTGAAGTATGGAAGACCTAGCCCTAACCCTTCAAAAGTTATGGCCAAGGTTAAGAATTTTAAAAAGTAGGTCAAACTTCAAGGTCAAGGTCAAAGGGTCAAAAGTCTTGATATCAAATGAAAGGTCTTGTCACAAGGGTTGAATATGCAAAGTATGAAAGCCATATCCCTTACCGTTCTAAAGTTATGGACAAGTTCTCCTTTTTAAAAGTAGGTCAAAGGGGCAAAGTTGTTGATTGATATCCTCACAATGATTACATATGTGAAATATGAAAGCCCTATTCCTTACCGTTCAAAGGATATGGCCAAGGTTAAAGTTTTTTCATAAGTACAGAAAAGGTCAAGGTTGTCGTATCCAATGAACAGTCTTACAACAAAAAACATATATTTGAAGTATAAATGTCTTAGTATTTACTGTTCAAAAGATATGGCCAAAGTAAAAGTTTAAAAATTTTGTGTCAGAGTTGGTCAAACTCCAAGGTCAAGGTCAAATCTGGTGGTACATGTACCCAAAGAAAGGTCTTGTCACAAGGAATACATGTGTGAAATATGAAGATCATAGCTCTACTAATTCAAAAGTTATTGGCAAGGTTAAATTTTTTGCGGACAGAGAGACAGACAGAGAGGCAGACATAGAGACAGACAGACACACACACACAGACGGGCGGACGGACACGACAAAAACTTTTACACCCGAAACTTCTTTTACGGGAGCATAAAAATGTAACAAAGGTAATTTTTTCCCAAGAAGTCGGTCATATTCCAGTGCCAGTGTAAATGGGGCCAAAGAAGGCCTTAGGGTCTTGCCACATGAAAATGGTTGAATTAAAAAATAATGACGACCGAATTGATTTTCTTCTTTTTGGAAAATTTTCAATTTTAAACATAATTATTTTACACTTATATCTTCAAATAGCACATGCATTTTTAAGTGGCAATGGAATATAAGTTTCAGTTTTTTTTTAGCTAAACATTTTATGAAACAAGAGGCCCATGGGCCACATCGCTCACCTGAATAGCTTTGACCACACAGTTCTTTACCTGTCCAGATTCCCCACTTGTAATACCTTTTGTGACCCCACCCTACCCCCTTCGGTTGGATATTTAAAAATCTACAGTGCCCCATGATGCTTTCGCACAAGTTTCAGTTTTTCTGGCCCAGCAGTTCCCAAGAAGAAGATATTTGAAGATTTTTCCATTATTTAAATGTAAAACCTTGGTTCCATATTGTGGCACTGCACAACCCCCGGGGGTCATGATTTGAACAATTTAAAATCTACAATACCCTGGGATGTTTTCACATAAATCTTAGCTTTTCTGGTCCAGTAATTATTAAGAAAAAAGATTTTTAAAGATTTTTCATACATAGTTTGGTGTAAAACTTAAATTCCCTATTGTGGCCCCGTCCTACCCCCGGGGGTCATAATTTGGACACTTTAGAATCTACACTACCCCAGGATGCTTCAACATAAGTTTTACCTTTTCTGTTCCAGTGGTTCTTGAGAAGATTTTTTAATAACCCCAACCTATATATATATATATTACTTTATTCAATGAAAACATGATAACAAGATAACTTTGGGGCAATGACATCCGCAGATGTCCCCCTATAATAACCCTCACTAGGGGTGCCATGCAGGGGCTCCCTAGATTGGATAGCAAAATATACCGGTATGTATTTGAAAAATGTAACAATACCTAAATCAATAGAGTATATAAAGTAATCAATTTGTATATTGACAAAGTACAGATACGGATAAAAAATATCTTTATGTTGCTAGGGGAACACACGAAACACTGTCCAACACACCCCGGAGCAACATGTATAGAGGGCCAGGTCACCCTCATATACTTCATACATAGATTATATTATAACAAACATATCTATATGTTTGAATACAATATTTACAAGTTTAATGCCAAAGATCTCAAAATGTGAAAATTGTATGAGATGCTTTGGGATCATTTAGTCGCCAAGATAGAATTTCATGAGAGCATTTTTCAAAAAAAATTAACTTATCTTCACCTGTAATGTTATTTTTCATAATTCTACTTTTCATTTTATATTTAAATATTTTACAAGCAATAAATGATAAGACATTATTCAAAACAAAAGTATTTTGGTTGATACCATGACTAAAACCAACAACATTTCTCCAACTAATACCTATACCTATGATTTCAGAAACTTTGTTCCATATTAATTTAACTTGAATGCAATCAAAAATCAGATGCTTAGAATTCTCTTCAATGCGTCAAACTGGACAGTATTTATCAATATCTTTATTCCATTTACTAAGATATAGATTATTCTGTAGTAAATTATGTACTAGTTTATGATTAATTTCAGCAACATTTTTATCAAGATTTTTTCTGATTTTTTCCTCATATACTTTTTGCCATTGATTTGAGCAGTTGATATTAAATTCTTTTGACCATATAGTTTCCATAATCGGCCTTTGAGACTTATTTGCGATAAAATTTTGTAAAAATTTTTTGATGTTTTGTCTTCAATGTTTTTTTTTTTTATTGTGAAATTTAAAGGAAAATAAATGACATGTGTTGTTATATTGATAAAAGGAATATTACTCGAATTTATACCTTGACATTTACTAAAGATTGTTTTAATTACTAAGTATTCACAAAGATAGTTTTTTTTTTTTTGGTTAAGTTTTTTCTGAATTTCTGTGAGAGATTTGAGTCCGTTTTCATCAAAAAGATCTTTTACATATTTATAACCACTTTCGATCCAGTTTTTAAAATAAATAGTTTTTCCTTTATATTTCAAATCCTTATTAAACCATATATTTTCACGCAAAAGTTGGTTCGGTGCGCTTCTTTTTGTGCTTTACACTGATTAAACGCACTAAAAGACTTCCTTATAAAAGCGAGGTAACTTAGACAGTATGTTCAAGTCTGTAGTCAATCGCATCATCTCGCCAATACGGGGCACTAATAATGCTGGTACGCCGATTCCGTCACTCTGATGAGTCGGAAAAACAACCTCGTGAGGTAGCGTTTTTCCGCTAGTCGTCAGAAAGATATGTTCAGCCTTCACAGGTTTTTGAGAAGTTGAAAATAACGATATATTGAGTCTGGCATTAGTATCAGAAATAATATTAGATCGTATTAAAAAACTTTTTAGGAGGTAGAGAAAATTATAATAAATACACAAAATCGTTTAAAAGATCTTTTAAACTACTTTCAGATGTTATTCATAAGTTTGGAAAATGCCATGTGTATCTCACAGACAGACGCAAGACTTTTGATGCCTTGTTGACTTTGAGGACGTTCTCAAAATCAATAATTCACATATTTAGCTAAAGACAGTAAAGATAATAGAGAGATTTCCTTCTTCCACAAAGAAAACGATTATTAACTTTATTTCTATGATAACAATAACGAGAGAAGGAACTGTGGTGCAGGTTCCTTACCAGTAATGCGTTCACGATCAGTTCCCACTTCAAATTAAAATTTCCTGTTTTGACATATATCAGGTTGATATTTCTCAAAACTGGGAAAATCTCAGTTTTTCAATA